CAGGATACGCCCAGAGTCACGGAACGGATTAAGTTCGTATCCCGAGGTACCACTGTACTTCGTGGCCATCAAAAGGTTGTCCACCTCTGGGTTCAACCTTGGGAGAAAATGATTAACAGTAAGACCATTGGGTTCTCCTCTTCTGGGCTTATTGAAGCCAAGGCCCCACAAACATCTGTCTGAGTTGCAGCAGAGAAGATGAGCTTGTATCTGTGCTCTAAAATGCTACTAGTGAACACCCCCCCCCCCCAAGGACATGCTATTTCAATCACTCCCTTCCTCAGGAAAACCTTCCAAAGCAATCAGGATTTGACCTCGGGGTATGGCATGCAGACAGCTGGGACTGGGGCCTGGAGGGATGGTGTTGGGGATCCCACTTGTTCCTCAGAAAGCTGGGCTGGAAAGCAGGGATGTGATGGGACCACCAGTGGGGAACTGTCTGGTGCAACCCATTCATTCAACGCAGACTGCTCGATTCGCTCTTTCAGTGCCTCCAAACGCATCCCCAGATGGAAGATGTTGCCTTCCACTGATCTGAAAAACATTAAGTCGTGGCCAGAAGTCCCACGTTAGTTGAATTGGATGTGAATTCCTGTTAACCTGCTCTCCAGACACTTTGAATAGCACCACGCATTGGGAGTTGCAATTCAATGCTGCTGAGAGCACCGTGCAGGAGAACTGCCGAGCAAGATAGCTGGAGATTCTAAACCAGAGTCTTTTAGAGATAAGGAAGAGGGGGGAAATTGAACATCGCCAATAAATTCAATTCTCATTTCCGAAACAATAAGCAAACCAAAATGCAAATGCTTTTTGATATTCTTTGCATTTTTTTTTTTTTGACATGTGCAATGCCGTTTTCCAAACAAAACTAGTGTCTAGAGAGTGCGTGCAAAAAAGAAAAAAAAAATCAACATGGACAAATGCCTTAATTTATCCTGAACAACAACATGCCTGAAATTGTAAATTCTCCTATGGAGATATTTGCACCTCCACATGGTGAGTAAAGGGGATAAAGGTCTAGAATGCTGGGAAAGGTGGATGGAATCAGTTATGGTGGCAATGGGTGCATCACTGGAAGATCTGAAGGACACAGTTGGAGACATGTTGTCCTGGGGAAGATTTATCTGTGTGGACTGTAAGAGTTGCCACCACCCTGATTGCACCTCATCTTCCCCTCATTTCTTAGCACTTTTGCACCTTAAAACCCAACTGTCCCCAAAAGAGGATAATGATTTCTGCCCTATCCACCCTTGGAAGCAGCTGTGGGGCCACCAATGGGATGAGGAGGAGCCCCACACGCATTCTTGAACCTCTATTTCAGGAAGTTTTACCTAGGTGACGATGTACACATACCGATTGGGATCAAATTCTCCTAGTGTCTCCACAGGTTCCTTCTGATTCTGCAGCTGCTGATACTTGTTTCGAGCCTGTAGGTAAGCTCGTTCCAGAGCTTGCTGAGCCTCCTTAAGTCTTGCAAACCCCTACCCAGACAGCAAGATTGAAAGAGGAATAAGTAATCCACTTATTGCAACAGAAGTGTCATTGCTCACTCCACCGTGGAGAAATTGCACAGGGTTCCTGCACAAATAAGCACATTTCTCTTCAGGATATGGCCAACCACAGAGCAATTTTCTCTCCTTCTAGGGCCAAGGCTTAAATAATTAAAATGCATAAGATGGAAGCTTCCCCAAATTCAGGAAATCTGGAATTTTGTAGAAATATGGAATTGAAAGAGGGAGCCCCAGTATGGCTCATAAGGTCTAAATGGGAAAGGGTGGAGGACAAACGTGATTGGAATCGGTTTGGGAGAACTTCACATCACAATATTTTACTGGGAAAAACAATTTCCTGATGTATTTGGTGCAGAAACAAGTTTAAAGTTACCGTCACTCAAAGGGAGGAAGAAAAATCCTGTACCTTTAGCTGGTCCAGGGCCTCCAGTCTATCCATTTGAATTAACTCCTCCAAGAACTCCATCTAAAACAAAAGATGCAGAATGAATTAACCATATTCTATTAACCAGAGTGATAGAAAGGTTGTCTTAACCCATTTCCAAGATGCAGGGAAAAAACAAACGAATGAAGATAACGAATATGCTGCAGTCTAAAAACAATTGCAACTCAGAATCTGGCTAGTTTATTCTACTCAATCCACAAACACACACAGGGGGGAATGGCCCCAAATGGGAACACACGCTCACCAATTCCTCATTCTCTTACAGTTGCCAGATGCACACAAGAAACTTACCTGCGTCTGAAATTTACCGGCCTGGGCGGCTAACAATTGCGTGAGATGATCACCCAAGAAAGGCGTTTTGGTGGAGATGGGACTATTTGTTCTGGAAGCAGCCGTGCCCGTGGAATCGCTCAAGGATGAGGGTTGCCCCAGCTGTCCGGGAAATCCTGTAACTCAAAAAAGGTAAACCCTGCTTTAAGTTCAGCTCAATTCCCAGTGCTTAAGAGATACCCCCAGGTTGTAGGTTGTTTTGCGGGGGGCAACGATAGAGAAGTGGCTTGCTCCACCTTCTTTGAGATGTTTTTTCAACTTCCCAATCTAGCCTACAGCTCTGGGAGTTCCCATTCACATCCCATCTAAGTATCACCTACGTATGCCCTTTTTTAATGTTCTGAGCTCAGCCAAAGGTTGCCTAGATGCTCCCTCCCAAAGCAGTGCATAGTAAACGAGCACAACTTTCTCTAGGTGACGATCTCAGAAAGAAAATATGAAAATGTTGATATTTTCTCCAGCTGGGGTGATGGTACCGGTCTGAATCTATAACAGAATATTGTGGCATGGAATGCCCTTGTTCAAAATGCCAGCCAGATTTCTGACATTCTTCACTGTATTTCCTCCATTCCCCTTTTTCTTTTCAGTTACATCCAAGAGCTGACGTTCAGCTCAACTGGAGGGTGGTGTGCCAGACAGGACAAAGGGAATGAATGAATCCCCAGGTTCATTCTTCTGATAAGCCCAAACAGGCATGATTTCCAAGCCCCACTTTGGAGAGTTGAGACTGCCAAATAATGCTAATTTCTCCCAATGTTTATTGATTCGTTTATGCATTAGTGTTCCCATACTCCCAACCCTTTTCAAGATGAGGTCTACAGTTTCAGCCCTTTTATTGCTTCCTGCTTTGTCTAACCCACTTGAATGTGCAAGGTCGTCCCAAACTTCAACTTTATTGCAGAACATTGCTATTTTTTGATGGCTGGAAAATTTTACACTTACTTAGACTGGCATTGGTCACTGGGGAGCTAGCCAATAAATTACTTGCCCAGTTTCTACCTTTTGCCTTGACTGGCAATGACATTATCCCAACAGCAAGGAAACAGGATGCAGATTTCTCAAACTTACCTTCACCCTGAGCACCCTTGGATGCGTCTCTGTTGGACTTGCTTGCGATCTCAGCAGTCCTGATCTGAGGGATGCTGAAGGTTACGACTTTGGACGCCTCTGATAGTCTCCCCGTTTCAACTGCCTGGCTGGGCTTTGGAGGATCGCTATACAGGCGCACCTGAAAGGCAAAAGAAAAGAGAAGAAACACTCAATCTCACCATGATCTCCAAAGGAAAGCAGACAGTGCATGGGTATTTCCTTGGCTTAATCAAGGAAATGCAAACTATCTATCTGGGAGGGCTTCAAACAAATTAACCTCAACCACCACTGGAAGACTTTTGGAAGAAATAACCCAGTTTCCTGATTGAGCACAGAGGAACTTAGGGCCAAGAACAGCCACTCAGCAGTACATACCAGGAAAGAGTCTCATGTTCAAACCTGCCCTTTTCTACGTAAAAAGGGAGTACATAAGAGAACATAACTTTTTTTTTTCCCACCCTGGAGATTCCCTGGTGGTCAAAGTAGGTCTGTATTTGTCCAGTTAAAAAAAAATGCCGTCCTCCAGGCAGGGTCAAAATCAAAATGATTCTGCTGGGTGTATCTCCGACTCCATTCGCTCTGGGGCTGAAAATATGTCCCTTCTCTTTGCTCCTCTAATTCATGCTTCAATTACATTTCAAGCTGGAAGCCTGGGTTTTATAAATGCTTACAATCTTTACCTGCTCTCTCTGTTCACCGATTGCCATCCTCCTATGAATCACGCAAGTGGAGATGACTTTTAAGTAGTCTCTCCTGCTATGCTCTACCAGCTACAACTGCATTTCTGAAACCGCCCCTCCTCTCTTGGGCCAAGGCTCCCGTTGCCACAGCAAGCCCTCCTTCCCATCTGTCTCCATAAACTACGCATTGTGACTGTGTAAGAGCATCATGGTGGACAGAGCACTTCCCCCAGCAAGCAGGGAAAACCTAATGGCTATTTTTGTATGAAGGAGGGGACAGGAGAAGAATCTATAAAATGACTGGTCCAAAAGGAGGAGCTCCAGATGTATTTTTTCCTTTGTGAGGGGAAAGAAACCCACTACCAAAAGTAACTAAAAACAAGCAAAGTGTCTTTAGAAAGAAATGCAAGCACCAGCACATAAATACCATTACACTATTCCCAATGACAAGAATGTCACCAGTCACTCTCCTGGATCATTCTAAGGGATGTGATTGACCGAAGGTGACTCCATCATATTGTATTTTCTCAAAATCGCCCTTCCATATTCTACCGCTGAGATGCTGGAAGTAGTCGGTTTTGCAACTTTGAAGATTCAGAGTAATTGGCCTTGGGGCACTGAGCGACGTAAAACGTTGTGCAATACTCAGGACTTCTGACACCTCTTAGTCACACAACTCCTTTTCTGCTTCCCCTTTTGGACTGCTGTGCTGTGGTTTGAGAAGATGCTGCTCGGAGACGCGGGAAGGGGGAAGAATCTGTCACGGCTCTGAACCACAGGAAGTTGACGAGGAGAGAACAGCCCATTGCAAATGCGAGCTGCTGTTCTTCGGGGTATATTCTCTCTCTCTCTCTCTCCCCACCCCCACTTCCTGTTCAAGACGAAACTGCCTGAGTCATTTTAATGAAGACTGGCAACTTCTTCTCCCCTTAAAAAGTACAATTCTCTTTTCTTCTTTTAAACAGTCTCTCGGAACAGAAGCATTTCTCCAGATGGGTTTGCAGAATCGCAGAGCTGAAGACAGCCTTCAAAGCCAGACAGATCTGGGTTGGCTTGCAGATCCTTGGATGATTTAGAACAGCAAGCGTTTCTGATTCGCAATTGTTTTCTACTAGCAGCAGCAATTGATCCAGCCTAATCTGAATTCTACCTCTGAAGTGAAGAAAACTTGGGATAAGTAACAAATCAGACGTAGTCGTCTTCTGATCTCCAGGATAACTTTGTGAAGTAGATTAGGCAGTGCAAATTAATTCAAGGGAATCTAATGAAGCCTGCAGCCTAATTGGGAACCAGGAACTTGGTGGACCAAGCTGGGTTGCAGATCCAGAGCTTCAACATCCAGCTGAGGGGCAAACCCAGAGTTTTGGAACCCAAGCTGGAATACGAACCCAGTGCTTGGATACAAAGCCAGCATTCTTGGCTTTAGGCTTGGCAAACTCCATTTCCCATCACACCCGGCAACTAGGATAGGACAACTGGTCAAAGATGAATGGAAAGTTACTAAACTTTCTGGATGGCCCAGCTCTGACCATGCTACTTATAGCTTCTAATGGCCTTCGACCAAATCAGAGCAATGTTGAGTCAGTACGGTCTTCTCCAATCAGCAGGGATCAGTGGAACCTATGATGTTCTACACAAAAAGGCTTGGCTCTACTACCAGACCTTGGCTGTTCCCCAAGCATGCATACTTAAAAGGTGTTCCACTATGAGAATTTAGAACATGGTACCCACAAAGCATGGGGAGCACAGGTCACAGAAACGGCTTTGGGAACATGATCATTCCAAAATCATCGTGTACCTTGGCGCTCAGCCGCAGCCGGTCAATGGTATTCTCAGCTTCCGCATACTTGGTTAGCAGCTTGTGATAGTCTTCCTGGAAGAAGATGATAAAGAGAACATGGTACTTAATTTAGATGCACCTTGCTCTGAGAGCATTACAATGTGATCCAGTCCTCCTTCTGGAAGCTTTCTTAAAATTGACGGATGACACCCAGAACAACTGGCTTGGTCAGGTCTGGAGGGAAAGGGGAACGTTCTAGTGTTTCCCAGGACACGTTCCTCAAAAATGTGCTCTAACTGAACTTAACATGTTGTAAAAAGGCAGCCATTACAGACCTGGTAAATTGTGTTGTTTGAATGCAACTAGCTCGTCCTACCAGGACACACTGCATTGCCAGAAGACCATAGTATGCAAACAGTTAAGGACCCACCCATTCCATTTCCCTCAAAAGGTGAGCATAAAATGCCACCATCTGAGACTCTCAGATTGGATCTCTTTTTTAAAAAGACAGGTTTCCAGTTATTCAAATCACAGGATATAACAATCTGGAGCCTTTTTGCAGCTCCAGATGAAGCTGCGTATGAAAGGTGTGAGTTCGTGCATATGAATGAGCAAAGTGCTGGAGGCCAAGGACTGAATGGCTGCGAATGGTGCTTTAACCTTGAAGCACATACAAAGCAAAAAAAATAATACAAAGAGGGAAAATTTGCATAATGTATACAGGTTGTGACCTCTCTGCTAGCTTAGGTTGATACAGACATATGGAGTGTGCATCAACATGCATGAAACAGCTTGCTTTTGGCTACTGGCCTAGATTTCTCTATTGATGACTACAGAGACAGGTCACTCACATGAATGAGCAACCCTCCATGCCAGCGAGAACAAAAAAAGAATGCATCTCTGCAAATTAAAAACTTACATGCCAGACAGAAAACAAGCATTTGGGGGAGAAAACCCTTCTAAGCATGGGAAATTGTGTTTGGAGGAACATCTTGGAATACCTACAGGCAACCCTTGTTCCGTTTTCCTTCACTTGCAGTTTAGAAGGATGGAACTGTGCAAACCGTCTGACTCTATTCAGGAGAAGAATTTTTGCAATGCATACAGGAGACATTACCTGAAGCTGATGCACCAGCTCCGTGGCCTGTCTGGGGGATTTCAGTTCCTCAGGAATAACGGAGACTGTGGGAGCAGGGCATTTCTGGGGGGATCCTTCTCCGCTGCTCAGCAACACTTCTCGGACAATCTCGGCAGGAGACTTGAAGATCACGGGCTTCCTAACCTTCTTGCTACTGGCAGGGGACATCTTTCCTGGGGGTGGATGGTAGCTTTGGGGATCTTTGGGGAACTTGACCCGAGGCTCCACTTTGGACAGATCTGGTAGCGGGTAGTTGAGTTGCCCTCGGCCATATTGCGTGATGTCTCTTGCACCAGGGGTTGAGTGACTTTCCCGGTTTGGCTCTTTTAGAGCAAGATGCCCAGACTTTTTCTGGCTGGTACTTCGCTGAGGGCTCAAAGACCTGGATTGCCTTGTGCCTTTAGGCAATAGCCCACGGGGCACATCTGCTTTCAGCTTCTGTGTTCGCTCCTCCAGCCGGCAACCAACTCGCCTCTGGGCACGGGGTGTCTGTGTTACCTTTCTTGAATCCAAAAGTCTTTCCTCAGTCTTACTGGCATTCGAAGCATGCTGCTGGGTGATTTGCACTGTCTCAGCTGGAGGTTCTTTCTCAAGAGGTTGTCCTGTGTTCTCCATCCATGATAGTTCTGGAAAAGCCTCAGCATCCATGCTGGGAGAATTCTGAAGATCTTCTAGGGACTGAAAATCCAAGAGCCTCTGACTGTACTGCAAGGAACTTGCTAGAGAACTGAGCCTGTGGCTTTCCAGGCTTCTCCCTGACTCCAAGGAGAGCTTTCGATCTTCAGGGAAGTCCAGACCATCCCCACCCAGGCTCCGAGGTTCAATTTCCAGTTGGGCGCACGTTGGAGGAGGACCACAGGGTGAAGGGCTGAAATTGGAGCTCTCAGACAGCTCGTCATCCACATTATCTGAGACAAAGCTGCATTTATATAAAGCCAGAGGGTCTTGTAGGGCCTCAGGACTGGGGCTGAAGTCCGAACCAAACTGACCCTCGAAGGAAAGCTCAGGATAAACATCCTCCTGGCTGCCGATGCCCCACGTCCCTCTCGGCTTCTCCGGTCGCTCAGTGCTGCCTTCTTCATGCATCTTATCTGGCTGCCAGTAAGACCTCAGGCCAAGATCCTTGGGACTTCCTTCATCCTCTAAAAATTGGGGGATAAAATAATGTTAGCAGATCTATGTCACATTGTCCTAATTATCAATCCATTCCCCTCCACCCCACCTTTTACCCTATAGCTCAGAGCAGCCAACCCAAGTTAAAGTATTATGTTTTGTTCAAAGCTCACTTCATATCCACAGATGAAAGAGTGACCCCACTGAAAATTGTCCTGGGCTACATGAAACGTTAAGGGAAGCTCGACTTTTTACATCATAGACCCTTCCTACACTGGCTTTTTAGCAGCTGCCAGTTTAACTAATATTGGATCCATACTGGCAAGCAAATGCAATTTGCTTTCTCGCATGATTCCAGGAAGGGGTGCTGCTTTAAAGAGAGTGAATCTGAAGTGCTACATAGCCATATTAATTGCACATCTAGCAAGCCCACGAACGCTCATGGTTTGGTGTTTCAGGGTCTAGCAAAAAATATGCACGTGAGCTGGAAAGGCCAAAGAGTCAGAGTTGGGGGAAAAAAAGATGTAAAAAATAGATTATTTCACCCAGTTTTTGTTCTAGCTCCACCCGCTGCTTCCTTAAGTCCTTCCACCACTGACAGGTGGCCCTCCACAACAGATTACTCCTAAGGGAATATGGCCCTTGATAGAAAATATCTGCTCTGGACCCTTGAAAGCCTTATCAGTTTTCTTCCCTGAACATGCAAAAGTTCTACTCCCATTCATTCAGATGTTACTCAAACTAACCTTTCCAGAGATTTGTGTCCCTGTTTTCCTGTGTTACTCACCAGGCAGGGGACTTGCGGCATTGACATCTCCTGCACATTCGAGATCCTGAAGTTCGCTGAGATCAAAACCGTGCTCATCTTCTTGCAAAAGGTGTTGATAGTCCTTCAATTCCCCCAAAAGTTCGTCGTCTTCCAGAATCTCCTGCGAAGAAGACAAGTTCCAGCAACCCAAATTCCCCGCAAGGTTGCCTTCTCCTATCTGGGTGGCTCCATATCTTCTCCCCTCGAGTTCAGCATCTTCTTCTGACTCCTTCTCTTTGTGTTGCTGCCCTCTGAAGCCATTGCTTCCTCTTCTGGCCATTCCTGCATTCCCAAGAGGGAAGCTAAAGCAGTGAAGTGGAGTGGAATAATTTCCTCAGTACAAAAAGATAGGCAAGATAATTCACTTGTGCCTTTTCATCAATTTCTGCAAAGACCCGGAGGACAAGACTCGAGAAAGCAGGTCACATGGAGGATTCATTCAATATTTCCATCCGAAGGAGAGAGACAGAATAAACAGAAACCCAGAACAATGGGCTCAGATGAGTTCTAAAGTTGCATGGTCTACCCATATGCTGCCAATTCAATAAGATGGATGCCTCTGAAGCTCTCAGCTGGGGTGGACAACTTGAAGCTCTCAGTGTAACTTTAAAGATCTTCTGCAGGCTATCAATCTGGCAAGTGTCACCTGCATAGAGAGAGAGAAGAAAAAGGGAATGTTGGGAAAGAGAAGAAAGGAAAAAGAGGTGTCACTCTGTCCCATCCACCCTTTGCTTTAATCCTGCTCACCACTGCTATCTGGGCCCCAAGCATGTATTCCCCAAAGAACTCTACCCCCAAGGTGTCAAGAGCTCTGGAAGGCATTAGAAGGCTAATCCTGAATTAAACTGCTTAAAGCTAAGACATGAATGCCCACAGAGTGGAGTCTTCCATAGTTGAAACCAGCCTGATAGTTGCCATTATGTTCTATGAACTCCCTCCCCCAGCTCTTCTTTCTTTCCGTGCAGCTGGAGATGCACAGATGTTGTTTCAGGCAGTGCCATTTACCACCAACACAAAAGGGGCAGTAGAAAAGCCTCCTCGGACCACGGTTATCCCGGCAGAAAGACTGCACTGATTGCAAAGCCAAGAAGGCAATCCTTCTAGAATTGGGCTCTCCGGCTCCAGCCCCTTGCTCACAGCAGAATTAGTCCTTCTGAATGCAAGCTTTAATCATCCTCTTTCTACTTCTCCTGCCTGAATTTCAGAAACCCAAAACGAATTCAGGTCTGTCTGTTGCACGTAGATGGGGAAAGCACAGGAAAACCAGCGAACAAAAAACCCAAGGCAATTCTTTTCCCCCCCAATCTTATTCTAGCTGCTCAAATGCTGGATGTCTGCCTGGAGCAGGTCCAATCTGATGCAAAGACCCCTTCTGCGTCCTCCACGCAGCACCCAGGGCCCTTGTTTGTATTACCAAGGCAGCCTCAAACTAAAATAAAATCCAGGCAACCTCTCTACACAGTCCTCTAGTTACAAACTGGAGCTCGCTGGGCGTTTAAGGTGACAGCGGCCAGCTTCAGATGGGGAGTCAAGGGTAGGAAAAACCAACCCACCAACACAAACCAGCATATTAATTCACTTTGCAGATGAAAATCAGGGCAGCTATCCAAGGAGGTTTAGAGCAAGGAAAGTTTCATGGATTTTGCAAATGCATAAAGCTGGGACCTTTCGGTCTTTTCCTAGGCCATAGTGCTTCGAAGAGCCCTGGGACTTGGCCTCAAGCCTGAAGAGATGTGGCTGTTCCGAAAGGGAAAGAATGGCCCTGTTATAGAGCCAGTTAGAATCTGACAGCGTCTCTGATGGGCACAAAACCTTGAGATACCAAACTGAGCTCTCACCAAATACCTCCCGGCTCGCTCATACTTTTCTCATGCAATGTTTTGTTTGAGAAAGGAGTTGTCCTGAGAACCCATTCTGGAGGTAATCTAATCCAGGGCTGGATGAGGCTCCTGGAGGTCACCTAATCCTTTCCCAAGGCAAGACATTCTACTGTTGCTCTTGCCCTCCTAATGTTTAGCTAAGATCTGTTAATATCAACCCATACTTCCTAACCCTGCCCTAGGAATCTCTTTACCCCCAATACTCCCCACCTGCTTTCATCTAAATTGTGGAGGACTTCAACCCACATTTGACTGGGGATTATGAAGTCCTCTGGAGGGCATCAGATTCAGGAAAGATGCCTTAACCACTACTTTGACCATACAGCTAAGTTTGAGTTTCCATCGCATTCTTACCACATAGCCTTTCCCTTAAATATTATCAACTCCCCATATATTTCACTTTCCACACTTATTCACAAAGGCCTTCCAGGGACACCGATGCTGTGTCAAGGAGGCTTACTTTGATATCATCCAGCAGACACCCCCCTCTTGCTCTTCTGTGTTGATATGTTCCAAGAAACAGCTGATCTCTTTCTCTTTATATCTATTCTAGCCACTGCTGTGGTCTGCTTGGTCTATTAAAGCAACATGTGATGGGACTAATCTTAGAAATTAAGACATAAACAGAAAAGGAACTCTCCAACTTGAAAAGGTGAAGAGCTTTGTCCTAGAGATCTAGGCTTCTTTTTAAAGCCTCGCTTGCTAGTGTTAATAGAAATTTGAACTGAGCTTCTAGCATTATCTGATGTAGGTTTACCTAGAAATAATGCATACTTGATTGCATTATTACAGAAAATACAAACAGCCTGGGAGGGTATGTAATAGAGATATGTGCAATTGAAACAGTTTTACACACACACACACAAGCGTGCAGCAGGATGGAAACTTATTCTAAGATTCTAAAACAATCTGCAATTGAGGTAGAAAACCATAAGCTTCTTCTAGAATGGAGGAAAAAAAAAATCTGTCTCCTAACTGCCAGAAAACTTTTGCATGCAATTAATTCTACTCTCAGCCAGGCCACAGAAATAAAACATAGGATGCTGGACTGGAGACCCAAGAAAGACCTACAGCCGGAAAAGCAAGACCTGCAGCATGAGGAGGAAGCTCAGAAAAACAGCTCTGTCGCCAAACTAAAACCAGAATTGCCAAAGACGGTGATGGAGAAATGGGGCATGTGGGGAACAAAAAGCCTAACCCCAGAGGAGCGAGCAAAGCATCAGCCAAGTATCACAGTTAAAGAGTTTCTTGCAAGCTTCAAGAGAAACCAGAAGCAACTGCTGCAGAGAACAAATCAAAATCACTTTGAGTGTCAGAAGACACCACCATGTTATAGTCACCCTGGATTGGCTCAGAGACAAGACTCTGGCTGGAGAAATTTTGACGCTGGGTGTTCCTTCCAAGATGTGCCATCCCTTAAAGAATTCTCCAGGTCTTCCAAGCAGAAGATTCTAGGACCATTTACTTATGTTTAATAGATATCACCTGCTTTTTCATTATGACCATGACAATCCCAAGAAGGGTTCATAATCGGATGAAATCTTACAAACACATCTTCGCTAGTACTTTTGGACAGAGCTTAGGTGGGGAGATAGAAACAGCTATTGGAAAACAAGAGAGGGCTCTAAATACATTGGAAACTGTACCAGCTAACAGCATTTTCAGGATTATATAATAAAATGGTCCATTCTTCCAAGAGGAAGATCATTCCATCAGGTTCTTCAACCTTCCAGGACACTGTCTGACCCCCCCCCCGCCACACAAATGGAAAAGCCCAGCTTTCCTTTCCTAACCCATCAGTCTCCAGCTATCACTGGACTACAATTCCCATCAACTCCAAAGACCAGTTAAAAGGCCATTAACCGGCGTCATTCTAAAATCTTGGTTTGGAACCATTCATGGATGACACATTTTGGAGCTTTTGACATGCACTCAATGGAGAGGCATGTCAGGAACTCTTAAGAGGACACCACAAAGAGGAAAAGGGTAATTTAATTGCAAAGGCACTGACTGAATGCAAAGCGTTGCAGTTCAGGACAGAATATCTAATTTGCATCGCTAAATAGTCGCATATCCAGTTCGCCTCCAGAGAAGGCTCAGAAAGATCCATCTGAAACTCTGGACAGCTGCCTTCTATCACCCCGGAGAATCCAGAGCTAGACAGCTGATGGTCTAAGCCTGCAAAGAAACGACTTTCTGCACTCCTGTTTAACCCAGCATTTGGTTCAGAGCCATGAGGACCAGCATGTCCTTTTTAAAGTGAAGATCACCCGTTGAGTGTTACAATGCAAGCTTTATGAACAAAAAGACAAGCCTCCACAAAGAACAAGGGGAGGCAACGGAGACCCCATTGTGCAGTTTCCAGAGCCCCTGCCCATCCATAATATGAGGAAGACCAAATGGCATGGACACTTCAGTTACAAGCGTTACTAGCCTACAGCGGTATAAAACAGCCTCTTGCTGCTGCTACCCTCATTGCCTTAATATCCATCAACTCTTTTTTTCCAAGCAACTGTCCATTTCAGACAATCTAGTCCCCAGCAATAATCCCCAAGCTTCTTCCCTCCTCCACAGTTAAACACCTGGCTTATCGAGCCCACAAAAGACTGGGGAATTCCATCTTTGACGCCCTTCCTTTAGTCAGTCACCAAAACATAAAGGGTGGGATGGAAGAGAAGAAGGTGAAGGATCCCTTCCTTCTTCCCTCTGTCATAATATGCACTATATATTTTTAAAAGCTGGTAAGAAAGAACTTAAATCTCTCCTTACCCATCCCCCATATATATAATCTGATTATCTTTCCTCCCTGGCCACAGATGACTCTTCCATATTGGCAGACAATAGTGGTCCAAGAGGCATCAAATGGGAAAGAAAACCTAACGGTGCTCAGTTGGTGCCTTGACTGCAAATGTCACCCCCGTCAAGCAAGATTTAAAAGAAAAAAGAAGGAACAGTCTTAGAGGGGCAGGAGCCAAAATCAAATCCATTAAAAAAAGTTATCTGTAATAGGTAACGGGCCAAAAAAACTGAAGCCTAGAAAGACATTTGCAGGTAAAAGATTATTCTAGCGCTAGAGAGCCTCAGCGTACTTTGTTGCTGTAACTAATCAAGGGGTCCGTCTCTCTTTCTGGATGTGGCCTCCTTTTCTCACATTCTCCCCAAAGCTGCAAACAGACATCGCCTATCGCTTAAGTCCTTAGCCACATTTCCATTCCCAAACTCTGCTTGGTGTGTGGACAGGTTGGGAACAGAGGTGGGTTTAGAGACCTCTTAAACAAAGTAAAAGATAAAGTTGAAATTATATAGAGCAAAATTAAGGAAAGAAGGTAAGAGATAAAAGAAGTAGAAGAGTGCAGATAGAAAAAGAAAAAATATGCCAAGAAGCAACTTCTGTTCTTCTTTATACCAGTTACAAACTTTTCTCCTCCTTTAAGATTACAATATGCTTCCCCTCCTCCCATAGGCAACCCTTTTCAGTCAGCCAATCCATAAATCACCCATTCATTTTTCTCCATTTTCAGCAAAAAGTCCCTAAGAGCTTTCCAGTCTTTTACAAAAATACTTGTTCTCTTATCCCTGATCAAACAGGCCAGGTTTGCCACTTCTATAAGTTCCGCCATCGTGGTTTAGAGACTTCTCTTAAAAGCACACCCAACTGACCTTAATGGTTCAGATCTGAGCCCAGCTTGGTTCCAAACCAACCTGCTTCAAACGTGGTTAGAATTTCTTGGCCTGGAAAGCTTTTACAATCCAGACGTGCATTAGCTCTGCCTGATAAAAGCTTCCAGCACAGAACCACAGGCCAAACCATAATTCATCTACCAACTTAGAAGGACTAGTCACGCTTCAAACAAAGGAAAAGCTATTCCACATGCAGCAAAGGGCTTTTGCAGCTGGGATCACAGGCACCCCCTGATTTGCAGACTCCTTCCCTCGGAGAAGCTTCTTAGAAACAAAACAGGGTTTGCAAAACTTGGAAGCCAGAACAAGCAAGCTATTCCTCACACAATAGCAGATAGGCTTCTGTCCCAAAGTGCACACAATTTAAATCTCAATATAAGGGAAATGAAAGAAGGGAAGGAAACAGCATGAAGGCAGGGTAAAGAGAGGTAGAAAATTAGGCTACAGTGTTAAAGCTGTACAAAGGTTTAGCAGTTAGAAAGCTGTAATGATAGAGACCTTTATCTACTATACAGTGTTTTCTTCCACCAAGCAATAAGCAAGTTATTTTTGGAAAATGCTCCGGGGAGAGTTTCATATGAATTTTGCTGGTTTTTTTTTTTTAATCCTGAACATGGTCCACAGCATGCCATCTGGTACCCCTAGGGTAAATGGGAGGCTCCACTGTTCACTTGAACAAAACCTAGTTAAGCTCATAAGTGTACAGACACACCAACAACCCGCCCCAGGCAACAAGAGCTGGACTCAAGGTTTAAAAACCCTGCTTTCCTAACCTCCAAAGTAGCTATGTAAGTGTAGCATAGAAGCTTCCACACCAGAGAGCTTGCACAACACTTAGAAGAGTTAACTCCTATTGTATCTTTTATTACTCCTTATTTACTTCAGCTTCCACTTCACCTTTGCTCCAAGGAGTTCAGAAGAGCTCATGCAGTTCTTCCTCAGGCCAGGTTTGGCTTTAGGACCAGTAGGTTAACCCAAGAAGGAGACCATCGAGAGAGAGGTCCTCAGGCCAGCAAAGTGGGAAGTGTTTGAAGAGGCAATCAAACAGAATTAAGGACGGCTGTTTTGCCTTGCCTTAATTCTCTACAATCAAGATGTTCTGCAGATCTGCTGGTGCTTAAAAGGTATAACTTCCTTTGAGTTGAGCTCAACTGCTGGTGATTGCATGGACACATGCGATTTTCCTGGGATATCTCATCCCCTATTCAGCTGCTCCATTTCTCAATCGAATTGTTTGATTTTTCAGAAGCTGGCCAAAGAGAAAGTGGATTCCCCCCCAAGCAAATGAATCACAGAGGCTTTTTAGCAAGATTGGTTCAGATGAAAGAAATACTAGCATAAGAATCCCAGCAAGGAACACTTTCAGTTTAGAAGCTATATAACTCTGGATAGGTTTGGGTAGGGATTTGGGGTCTTTTCCCCCTACAACAGCTCTGAGTTGTTAACATAACTGTTACTTGAATTTGTATCAGTCTTAGAACCAACTCTCACACTAACCTACGATGCTAGAAGCCACCCATCCAAGTCTGGCCCTGCTTAGCTTGACCAAGATTGGCCAAGATCAGCTAAGTGTTCACACCTGCTGTAACTCTACACAGAAGCAAATCCTACTAAATTCTGGACCCATGTTTCCAATGGTATTAGTAAGAAACACTAAGCTTTCTTTAAACCGGGGCCACAACTTTTGGGGGGGTCAAATGTGATAGTTAGGAGAAGTAGTAGAACTAAGACAAGAACCACCATGGATTCCTTTTCAGTTTTAACTACGATTAAAGGAGTGAAATCAACGTGATACAGTTATTTGCTACACACTTATCGGTTTCCTCTTTCGGTGCTCCTCAGCTAGCTACTGAATCCACCCATCTTCTAGGTTCACACAAGACATGGAACCGTAAGCTTTGCATGATGCAACAAGCCAGAGAAACTAGGCTTAAGACAAACCCAGCTAAACGCAGGCCACTGCTTTCTGCCGGTCTCATTAAGAATATAACTCATAAGCAAGTCCACGGAATTTCAGCCTCGAAGTAAAAGTTCCCTTCCCCCCCCCCCCCCCCCCGTGATAAAGAATAAAAATCTAAAACCCCTTACCAGGAGACGCAGAGAAGCTCACCAGGGGCCCAGCGTTCCCCGCCGTTGCTCAGGGAGCCGAAACTAACAAGACGTCTTTTCCCCCTCCTTCAAGGTAACCAGAGCAACCACGGGTTCAGATCCAGCCTGGGGAAACACAACAGGCAGAGCACA